GCGAGGCCATGGGCCATGTATAGGTGTGTGCATATATATATATATATATGAGTATTTATCGCTATTTACAGAACAGGGCAGGGGCATACCACAGAGGGGGCACAAGTTTTCAGCAACGGTCACAGCTGGAAGTGTCAGCTCACCACTACAACCGACTAAGTCACAGATGAAGGCTTTGGGGCTGGGGATCCACTGTCAAGTCACAGGACACCCGCCCAGGCAAGCTTGGAAAGAGAGGCCTCCGAGAAGAGGAGAGATCTGTTTAGAGGTCGAAGCAGGGCCTGGGACTCTCAGGACGGGATGGACTTGCCTGACCTGATCAGCGGGCAGTTGGAGAGAAGCAGAGAGAAAACGGGAGAGAGAAAAGGAAGCAGATTGCTGGTGAGGCAAGCGCAGAGCATGGGCACAATGCAAGAGCTGTGTGAGGGCCAGGGAGGGGAGGGAGCAGGTGCGGGTGTATAGTAAGGTTCCTGGAAAAGGGGCTGGAAGGGAAAAGGGAGGAAGATGGAAGGAAGAGCCGGAACTTCACAGGTAGTGCCTGGGGGCTGCAGCGGCCCTCCACACCCCACATACGCCTCTCCCACGGCATCCAGGCAGTGCACCCACAGTTCAGACCAATGCTCAGTCCCCTCAGGCTTCCCTTTTCTCTGGTTACCCTGTCTTCCAACCCACTGGCCCAGGGCCACCCCTCACCTTGGGGAGCCCCAAGCAACAGCCACCAGGCCTGATAGGGAAGGAATACTGCTTGAACCAGGATGATGACGCTAAAAGGGATGGACGGTTGGGTTGAGTGCCGGAGGCGCCTCTGGGCCATCAGAAAGCCCAGGACCCTCTGAGAGGACCCTTGGGTAGGCAAGGAGGGCAGGCAGCCAGATGCCACTGGCCATAGATTTGTAAGTCTAAGAGGGAAGCCTCAGCTTGTTGGGGGACTGCAGGTCACACAGGTGAGGCTGGGCCCTTCCTGCAGAAAAAAGCAGAAGAGGGAGAGTCTGTGGCAGGAGAGGCGGGCAGGCTCACTGGACAGAGCTCAGCCAGGCCAGCAGGCAGTGTAGTCCCCTTGGCTGAATAGCATAGGTGACCCCTAGGAGCAACAGGCCAAGGTGCGTGAGCCCGCTGGCTGGCAGTAGTGCTTCAGCAGGGGCCAGGGACCCTGCTTTCGGTCACACACTAGCAGCTGTGATGGTATCTGGGAGGGAGGGAAGGGGGCTTTGTGTCCCTGCCTGGCCTGTGAAGTGTGTTATGGGATGACCGTGTGCATGGGAGTCTCAAGGTTTTATCCTAGATCACCACTGGATTGCAACAAATAGAGGAGGTGGGACCCCGACTATCACCACCGCTCTGCAGTGGATTTGGCTCTCAGCACTCCCAGGCTGGGAGCTGGATACCTGCCCTGGCAGCATGACCCAGACTGCATGACAGGTACAGCGTGCCCAGGATGATGTTCCTAGACCTCTGGCCGCCTCAGAATCCAGCCCCACACATGACCCCCTCCAAGCTCCCACCATAAACCGCAAGCTCTCTGCCGTCTCTGACAGCTCCAGAGAGCACCCATGTCTGCCAGCCTGGGCATGGAGCCCGTTCCAAGAGCCCCCAGGCTCAGTCAGGGAGGCTGGGGGGGCTTTGGGACCGTGGGGACCAGCCCTGGTACCTGCGTCTGGCCAGGATGCTCTGCACCTGCAGCCAGGAGTCATCCACGGGCCCCTGTGGGCGTGCTGACGGTGGTCGTGTTGATGGTGGTCGTGTTGATGTCGCCAATGATGCTGAGCACCTCCGTCAGCATGTGGTGCATGCGCAGCATCTTGTCGCCCCACTGTGCCTGCTCTGCTGACTCCTCTATCAGTGTGTTCTGGTCTCCATGTGAGTACAGGTTGGACAGCAGCTCCGAGATGAATTCCTTGGTCTGAGAGTGGGCAAAGAGGGAAGAAGGGTGGAACCTAATGCCTGTGCTGCCCTGGCCGCCCTGCCGGGCCCTGCTGGGACTGTGCGCTGGGCTTGGAGCCCTAAGTATGGCTTTTCAGATGTGGCTTCTACACCACTTAGACTCGAAGATCTGCCTCCCCACTGCCTTTTCTCACTCAGATGGGAACACTGAGGTCCAGAGGAAAAGTCACCTGTCCAAGGTTACAGATCTGGAAGAGGACCCAGGACCTATCATGCCACCAGGACACCTGTCTACTTGGTTTTTAAAAATTGTTTTTGGAGATAGGATCTTACTCTGTTGCCAGGTTGGAGTACAGTGGGTGAGATCACTGCTTACTGCAGCCTCAACCTCCTGGCTCAAAGTGATCCTCCAACGTCAGCCTGTCAAGTAGCTAGGACTACAGGCATGTGCCATCACCAAGCCCAGCTATTTTTAAAATTTGTGTGTACAGACCTGGACTCACTGTGTTGCCCAGGCTGGTCTCGAACTCCTGTGCTCAAGCGAACCTCCTGCCTTGGCCTCCCAAAGTGCTGGGATTACAGGCATGGGCCACTGTGCTCAGTCCCACGTTATATTTCCATGGGACAGCTCTGGTCTTGACCGTGCCTCCCTCCCTGGACCTGGTCCCAGAGGGCTGTTTGCCATCTCCCCCAGGCCAACATGGCCACCTGCATCCCCAGTGCCATAGGAGCCCCCTGCCCGCATGGGGCAGTGCATGCTCATTGTTGATCATGAGGTGCATGATGGTCCTTGTCATGAGACCAACCACGAGGTCCAGCACGGTCTTGTTGACAATGGCCATATAGGAGTCTACCAGGTTCTGGGTGGTCTCCTTTAAGATCTATTTGCTTAGAATAGTGTTTACTAGAGGTGAGGAAGGGTAAGGGGGAGGAGGTAGCCAAAGGTTGGCTAACAGGTTAACAGATACAAGAGTACATGGCTGAATGTGGTGGCTCACACACTGGTGCAATCCTAGCTCTCTGGGAGGCTGAGGGGAGAAGATCACTTGAGGTCAGGAGTTCATGGCCAGCCTGGGCAACATAGGAGATATTAGGTCTACAAAAAATTTAAAAATTAGCTAGGCATGGTGGTCCATACCTGTGGTCCCGGCTACTAAAGCCCAAATTGAAGGACAAAATAAATCAATCACGACTTTTCACATTTTGTGAATGTGATCAAAATGTGACCAAGGACTCACTGAATTACATAGTATTATATCAATGTTACATTTCCTGATTTTGATCATTGCATTGTGGTTATATAAAATAATGTTCTTGTTCTGGAAGTAACACTGAAATATTTGGGAGCAAATGGGCAGATCTCCAACTTCAAGTGGAGCAGAAAAAAATAGTTGTGTGTATACATATATATACACATATGTGTATATATATATATACGTGTGTATATATATACACACACACATACATATACAAAGAATATATGGCCTGGCGCGGTGGCTCAAGCCTATAATCCCAGCACTTTGGGAGGCCGATGCAGGTGAATCACCTGAGGTAGGGAGTTCAAGAACAGCCTGACCAACATGGAGAAACCCTGTCTCTACCAATAATACAAAATTAGCCGGGCGTGGTGGGCACCTGTAATCCCAGCTACTCGGGAGGCTGAGACAGGAGAATCACCTGAACCTGGGAAGTGGAGGTTGCAGTGAGCCAAGATCACACCATTGCACTCCAGCCTGGTCCACAAGAGCAGAACTCTGTCTCAAAAAAAAAAAAAAAAAAGCTTTGTGTGGTGGTGAGCGCCTGTAATCCCAGCTACTTGGGAGACTGAGGCAGGAGAATCACTTGAACTAGGGAGTTGGAGGTTGCAGTGAGACAAGATCGTGCCACTGCACTCCAGCCTGGGTGACAGAGTGAGACTATCTACCGCTCCACCCCCCAAAAAAAGATAAAGCCATTGAAGCAAAATATGAACTAGTAAACTTGGGTGTTCTTTGTACTATTCTTCCAACTTCTCTTAAGTTTGAAATTATACAAAAATTAAGTTACAAAACACATTTAAAATGTTTGCTGTATTTATCTGCTTGACAGAAGCAGATATGCAAGAATCACTTTAAGGCTAGAACTTTGCCACTTCCTGGCTGCTTTTTTTTTTTGAGACAGGGTCTCACTTCGTTGCCTAGATTGTAGTGCAGTGGCGTGATCTCGGCTCATTGCAACTTCCACCTCCAAGGCTTAGGTGGCCCCCCAACCTCAGCCTCCCAAGTAGCTGGACTACACATGCACATCACCATGCCCAGCTTATTTTCTACCTTTTTTGTAGAGAGGAGGTCTTGCTATTGCCCAGGCTGGTCTCCAACTCTCAGGCTCAAGCAATCCTTCCCACCTCAGTCTCCTCAAGTACTGGGATTACAGGTGTGAGCCACCATGCCTTGCCCGTTCTCTTGGACACCCGTCCACCAGCTAAGCTTGGCTCTCCAACAGCTCCTTCTCCCACTGGAGAAACACGGAGCCACCAACTTTCCTCATACGCAAGGGCATGAACCAACCAAGTGCAGCCCAGCTCCTGAGACGCGCACACACACACGCAGTTAACTGACAGCCTCAACAGAGATCCTAAAGCTCAGAGTCCAGGGCAGTCTACTCAGGCTGCAGCTGGTGAGTCTGTCTCCAGTTAGGCTGAAGCATCCCAGTATCATCGGTTCTCCCACATTTATTCACATTTGTTGAGATCTCTTATATTCCAGGCACTGGGCCCCACACTGGACACAAAGACACCACTTATCCTACCTCCCACTGACAGAAAAGTAAAACCCTGATACACGTGATAATCCTGTTGCTACCATCTCAATGTGGGTAAGTTGGCCCAAATTATGCGTACCGAGCAGGGGTTGAAGACCCAGGGAAGCAGGGTGGGGCTGTCAAAGCAGCTTTCCAGGCTCATACTGCAGACCACTAGCCACACGCTCAGGCTTGCCCTTGCTCATTTACTAAACTCCGGTGAACCCATTCCCCATAGACAAGCAGCACCCGAATCCCAGGCAAGTGCCAGCTGATGTGTCACCTTGAGAGCTCCTGCCTTTACTCTACCCACACACAACTGCAAAGATGACACAGGCAAGGCTGTTGTCCCAGATTTATTGAAAATAATATAGCACTGCAGAAAAAATTCAAACAGGTCCCCGAGGCGTTTTGAAATTCATCCCAACTGTAGGCTGAGTGACCTGCAGGTTGGACAGACTGCCGAAGTCCTGGAACGAGAAAATGGATTCAGTGAGCAGTTACTGGTGAGATCTGTGGGTGGGCCCCAGAAGAAAACAGAGGGCCTTCTCCCTGCCCCTAGAGCCACAGCATTCTCAAGGAGGTCCAGAGGCTACCTGAAAGACCCTTTACTCTAAGAGCCAACAGGGGCCTCAATGCCTCCCACTTTTCCAGTGTGATCTTCCTTCAACACACACCTGACCGTGTGGTATCCCCATTTACAACTCTACAACTTTTACCCAATGTACCATACCATTTTCTGTTTTCACAACCCCTTCCTATCACTCAAAAACACCATTTCTCAATCTTGGCAATGTAGACATCCTGGGCTGGACATTCTTTGTTACAGGGAGCTGTCCTGTGCATTGCAGAAAGTTTAGCAACATCCTTGGCCTCTATCCATTAGAAGTCAGCAGGTATCCCCTTGCTATGAGAACCAAAACAATGTGTCTGGACATTGCCAAATGTGCTCTAAGACAAAACTCTGTCCCTTTGAGAATACACAGTGCCACTTGCTTTGCAGGACCAGCCCCAGGTAAGAGCTATTACTAATCTAATCAACATTTGTGAAGGGCCCAAGTACACAAGGCACCAAGCAGAAGGGAGGGAGGCAAGAGCAGACCCTGCCCTCGCACAAGCTCAGGCTGGTGGGCAGGGCAAGAAGCCAAAGGGCCCACCTTATACCTGGAACTTCACGTCCTATTTGGTCCTCAGAAACCCATTTTAGTTTCAACAAAAAAGCTGCATTCAGCGCAGTGGTTATTTCAGGAGGAAAAGACCCACAGCGGGCTGTGCCTGTACTGGTGATGTTTTTCTGAAGCTGGGAAAGCACATGTGAGTTCATTTTGCTAATTACCTTTTTGAGTGCCTTAAACATTTAATGACTATAAAAATAGGAAAAATGAAGTTGTTCAAAATCACCAACTGCCCAATGGATTTTTTTTTTTTTGAGGCAGAGTCTCGCTCTGTCGCCCAGGCTGGAGTGCAGTGGCCAGATCTCAGCTCACTACAAGCTCCGCCTCCTGGGTTCACGCCATTCTCCTGCCTCAGCCTCCCGAAGCTGGGACTACAGGCGCCCACCACCTCACCCGGCTAGTTTTTTGTATTTTTTAGTAGAGACGGGGTTTCACCGTGTTAGCCAGGATGGTCTCGATCTCCTAACCTCGTGATCCACCCGTCTCGGCCTCCCATAGTGCTGGGATTACAGGCTTGAGCCACCACGCCCGGCCTGCCCAATGGATTTTTGAAGCCCATGCTTTCACCTAAGTATGCAAAAGGACTAAGATTAAGTCACAGAAGAAACATCAAAGTGCAATGAAGATACCCTGAATTACCTAAGTAGTGCCTTGTATGTACCTGGAAATGGACCAAAGCTCATTTCTGAGTGGTTAGCATGGAGACACCAAAGGAATACCATCACAGAAGAAAAGCAGGCAGAATGAAGAGAGCCAGGGCTGACACAAAGGGGGCAACCCAGGCCAGCCATAAGACCAAGAACAGAAGCAGCCAAGAGAGAAAAGGTATCCTGGAAGCCACTAGATTTGGGAATCATGATCCTGAAGCGAGCAAACTCAATGCACACAACTTTCGCTACACCCATTATGAAAGCAGTCTAATTTAGTGGCTAGAAGTTTAGATGGGATTCCCAACTCTGCCACTTACTAGCTGGGTGACCTTGGATAGTAAGACCTACTGATGGTTTTTGACCAGGAAAATACCACTTTAGGAATCCACCAAACACTTACCAAAAGCTTCAGCATTTCCTTAGTGTCAGGATCTACTTCAATTATCTCCTGATCCAGGGCTGAGACCTAGAAGCAAAGGAGATAGGCTCAACATACCAATCAATGAGATTATCACTCACCTCTCCTCCTTTCCCCAGGTTCTTAAATATGGAGAAGAGGAGTTGCACAAGGATAGCATTCCTCTCACAAGGCAAGCAGTCTCTACAGTATTACAGTCCCCGATGACCTGTTCTTCTGGTCTTACCTTCCCATGCCCTCAATACATCTATTCAGTATTCAGAACACTTGAAGTCTTTGTTTACACCAAGAAATACTATATTAGGGGCAAATGAAAAACCCACGTACCACGATAGCAGTCATCAAATCAACATTATTAAGGGCTCTCATGAAATATGGACTAAACTTAACTAGTTCCAAAAGAGCAGAATGGAGGCTAAGAAACTGATAGGGGGCTATGGGCACCTACAGCTGGTTAGGAAATGTATGGATAAAAGGTCTCAGATTCAGCTGAGGTCCCTTTGGAAGCCGGAACCCACAGCTTTATCATTCGAGGATTAGCCAGAAGCCCAATTATCCAGAAAGTTTACCTCGGGAACATAATTGTCTCTCCTTTCTCTCTCCTCCTCCTGCAGCTTGATGGAGATACCTCTTACAGGGCCTCTCTGAATTCGCTTCATCAGATGAGTGACATAGCTACAAAGCACGCATAGCCAAAGAGAACAGTGAGAAAACAAATCAACTCCCACCTGGTACTCAGCACATGTGGATATATAAATACCCGCTTTAGTTCTTTTCCATAGTGAGAAGGGAGAGGACTATACTGGGACCTCCTACACATAGAACCTCCACTGGTCTGAGCATTCCTTCCCTTTGGTTTCTCACTCACTATTCAAACTCTCCTTCATAGTGATCAACTCCCCCTCCCCCGCCCCGCCCCGCAGTTTCACGACCCTTCACAGCCTTCATTTTCTTTCTTCCAATTTCAAATTCACATAATTTGGCAATTAATACGTTGACTTTGGCACTATTCTTCCAGACCATATTCCTATAAATCTCTCGAACAGTAACTGCAACTGTGAAGAACGCATTAGAAGTTGACTCCTAGCCGGGCACGGTGGCTCACGCCTGTAATCCCAACAATTTGGGAGGCCGGATCGCTTGAGGTCAGGAGTTCGAGACCAGCCTGGACAACATGGTGAAACCCGTCTCTACTAAAAACACAAAAATTAGACGGGCGTGGTGGCACGTGCCTGTGATCCGAGCTACTCGGAAGGCTGACGCAGGAGAATCGCTTGAACCCGGGAGGCAGAGGTTGCAGTGGGCCGAGATCGCGCCACTGCTCTAGCCTGGGCGCCAGGGCAAGATTCCCTCTCAAAAAAAAAAGAAAAAAAAAAAGGAGCAGAAAAGAAAGCTGACACCTAAAAGCAACGTAGCTACAAGGCAAGAGGTCTGACGGTGGCTACCTCCAACCCAGTGTCACCGCGGCCAGTCATGACACAAGCCTAAGTTCACAACGGAAATCCTGCACACGCAGAGCTCTAGCCCTCCTCCGGGACACCAGGGAGCTCAGGCTAACGAAACCACCACAGTACCGTCTCTTACAGAGTCGGAGTGCGGCAGAGCACATAAACAGGCCGCGGGCCCCGGAGACCGAGGAAGCCCCGACTCACCCTGCTATCTTGTTGCGGAGCTTCTTGCTGGGGATAATGGCGATCTCCTCGCACACGCGCTTGTTCGTGTGGAAGTCGTTGCCCAGGCGCGTGTAGTACTTCTCTATGATGACCCGGGCCGCCTTCTTCACAGTTTTGGTGCGAACGCGGCCCTGCGGGTGGAGAGCACAGGATCACTCACGAGCCAGTGCAACCTTTTGGGAAGAGTGCCGCACCGAGCCCCGGCGGGTGTGGTTGGGGACCGCCGGCTGCGATGAGCCGGAGAGGGGGCCCGGCTGGGCACTGCCGGACGCCGGGCTCAATACGGAAGCTGCCTTCCCGCTGCGCTCCAGCCTGACAGGGCTCCGCGCCCGCCTGGCCCAGGGCCTCTTTTTGTGGGCTGAAGACCGCGGTAAGCTGCAGATGGAAGACGATTATGGAGGATGCCGGCCTCGACCCAAAACACCTACCATGTTGGCGGGTCCTTGGTAAAGAGGAAACAGGAAGCACAGGCGAGGCCTATTAAAGCTTAGGCCAGAAAGCCGCTTCCGCCGGTACCGGGCTTGCTGAGCCTACTAGGGAGCCACACAGCGCCCCCTGGCGGAGTGGGGCGGGAACGGCGGCGGCGCGCCCCTCCGGTGGGCGGGGTGTGTCCCGCCCCCGACGGCCCCTCCCTTTCCGCTCCCCGCTCGCTCTCGGTTGACTTGGGCTAGCTTCTCTCCCTCATCTGATTTTTAATGGGACCGCCCTTTGCTGTGCTCTAGCGTAGGAGCGGTCCATCTCTTCCACACACGTCAGGGAGAGGAGAGGCATCCGGTCCTCGGGAGGACCGAGAAAGGAAGGCGATCCAGGGCCGCGGAACAATGAAGTGCGGGATGACGGCCGCCCAGGGTCCCTACCCACTCCGCTGGCCAGAGACTTGGCAGGTAGAGACAGGGTGCGACTGGGAGAGACATATCTCATTTCTTCCGGGCCTTTGCTCAAATGTTTCCTTATCAGAGGGCTTTCCCTTCAGACTTAGGTAAAATAACTCCCTCACTATCCCTGCTTATGTTTCCTAGCACTTGCCGTGTGACTCGGCTTATTTTTCTCAACTAGGGGTGAGCTCCATGACAGTAATGGTCATTTTGTTTAGCTAATTCCCACTGCTTGAACAGCGCCTAGCACACAGCAACCTCTCCAATATTGACGTGAAGGGCCCAAATCACCTGCAGAACTCCCAGCACCTCAGGCACCCTCTCCAACCACCATCTTCAGGCTGTTCCTGCCATACCCATCCCCAAACAAGGGCCTTCCGAAGCCACCAGCTCAGGCTGCCCCGATGGGCCGCAGCCTAGGTAGGGCCCTGCCCCTTCTTCCAACTCTGCTCCCTGGGCTGACAGCAGTCCTAGGCCCCTACCTGATAGGGGAAGGCTGAGCTGGCCAGGCTGGATGAGTTAAGCAGCCCAGGGCTGTGCCTCATTCCTCAACGCACCTTAGGTACTCCAGTCGGACTCTCGACTGGGGATGGAAAGCTGAAGGACAGGAAACCCTGGCACCAAAAGTAGCACTGGGACAAAATAAAAGGCCAGAATCTCAGAATTGCGGGAGCAAACTTCCAATCAAGCTGCTGTCAGGCCCGAAGTGAAAGATCAGGGTTTTTTTTTTTTTCTTTTTTTGTTTTGAGACGTAGTCTTCCTGTCGCCCACGCTGGAGTGCAGTGGCGCGGTATCAGCTCACTGCAACCTCTCCCTCCCAAGTTCAAGCGATTCTCCTGCCTCAGCCTCCCAAGTAGCTGGGATTACAGGCGTACGCCACCACGCCCGGCTAATTTTTGTATACTTTTTTAGTAGAGCCGGGGTTTCGCCATTTTGGCTAGGCTGGTCTCCAACTTCTGACCTCAGGTGATCCGCCCGCCCTCGTCCTCCCAAAGTGCTGGGATTACAGGTGTGAGCCATTGCACCCGGCCAGCCTTTTTTTTTTTTTTTTTTTGAGATAGTCTTGCTCAGTTGCCCAGGCTTCAGTGAAGTGACACGGTTAACAGCTCACTGCAGCCTCAATTTCCTGGGCTCACATGATCCTCCTGCCTCAGCCTCCCCAGTAGCTGGAACTACAAGCACACACCGCCATGCCTGGCTAAGTTTTTTTTTTGTAGAGATGGGGTCTCCCTATGTTGCTCAGGCTGGTCTCAAACCCCTAGGGCTCAAGCAATCCTCTTGCCTCAGCCTCCCACAGTGCTGAGATTATAAGCGTGAGCCACTGTGCCCAGTCTGGCCTCCCCTTTTATTTTTTGAGACGGAGTCTCACTCTATTGCCCAGGCTGGAGTGCAGTGGCATGGTCTGGGCTCACTGCAACCTCTGCCTCCCGGGTTCAAGTGATTCTCCTGCCTCAGCCTCCCAAGTAGCTGCGATTACAAGCGCTTGCCACCACACCCGGCTAATTTTTTGTATTTTCAATAGAGACGGGGTTTCACCATGTTGGCCAGGCTGGTCTCAAAATCCTGATCTGCCCATCTTGGCCTCCCAAAGTGCTGGGATTACAGGCCTGAGCCACCGTGCCCGGCCAGGCCTCTCATTTTGTGAGGAGACTCCCCCACCTTGCCCAATAGTTCTTGCACCACTCTCACAAGAGCCAGCTTCAGTATGCAGGGTTCCCTCTACCTCAGACTAAGTTGGAGGTTCCCAAAGAATCAGTCCAACAGCTGGGCCCACGCCAACTCGACTGGGGAAAAAAAAAAAAAAAAATCAGCAGACCTTGCCACAGATCCTGTGAGCTCTAAAAAAGTTCAATTGACAGGGCTCTCTGAACAGCAAACGCCAAATCATTCCCTCTCAGAAAGGAATTCGGTCATCATAGGTGGGTCCAAGAGGATGAGCAGCCTCTGAAGAAGTAATAAGCCAAAAATTGCAGGAGAAGCTGAGAACAAGTGGCTTCTGCTGGCCCATGAGCAGCTGTGCCTCCAGCATTCTCCAGGCTGGGCCTGGAGGCTGTGAGGACCCCTGAGAAGCTAAGATGTGAGGACTTTTTATATTTGGGCTAGAAGCACCCACCCACTGGAGAGGCATCTCCAAAATGTATTTGATGGTAGAAAGGACCAAGAAGTACTCACAGGGCAGGTCTCCCACATGGTCCCACTATTATCCTGGGCCGGGATCCCATCACAGAAATCCAAGGAAACAAGCTACGGCTGCGCCATTACTCCCTTACTCCCCATTAGCCCCCTGCTCCCAGACCTCAAACACAGAGACAAAACCAGAACTCTGCTGCAACGTGTTTATTATGTGCCAAAAAAACTACACCACAGCTTACTCCACACATCTGTAGGAGAGTGCAGTCTTGCCTGCATATACTACAATGAGGTAGAGACTTCACACACAGCTTCACAAAACCCACAGAGTAGCTGGGATATGCAACAATGCAACATCAGCTCAGCAGGAGGGAGGGGTTATGACACTGGTTCTTTGGCACACAGCTTCCCTAGGAGGGGCAAGTAGTTTTTGTGTTTTCTTTTTCAAAAAAAAAGGAAAGAAAAAAGTCAAGTTTTCAAATTCCAGTAGCATTTCAGTCAACTGCAACTGTTATCTCATACATTCCTCAAATTAAAGATATAAGGGAAGGGTACTTGTCCCCTCTAAGAGAAAGGGCTCCTGTGAGCCTTCATCTGCCCCCACTGAAAAGCAGCCCTTTTTAGCTCAGTTACAAAAGAAAAAAGTCCTGTGACTTTGTGATTAAAAACTTCTATCAACCCCACCCCCCCACATAAGTGCAACTTAAGGAGGTGCAATAAACCATTTAAAACTATATACAGCAGCCGCTCAAACACCGTTTATCCGGTCCAGTTTCAAATAAAACAAAAACATTTTTTTTTCTTGGTTGCAAATGCCTTGATTTGCAACTGTGAGAAACAGTGACCAGCAGTCCCCCAGACACAAATTGGCTATAATGTTAAAAGCTGCCAGGAAAGAAAAAATATCTTGTTCCAAACGACTTAAAAACTGTTTTAAGGAGTGTAAAAAGGAACCGGTAAAAACCCTCGAGCGTAAAATATGAAATATGATTTTGGTTTAAATGAAGAGCAAAGTCTCCTTATTGTTTACAGTAAAAAACACCAGCTGAACACTCAGTTTATGCCGTTCAGGTGGGGGTTAAATAAATGGAAAGGCACTGTATGGCAACTGCAAGAATGAAACCAATGAGACCTGCGCATCATCACCATCAGTATTGCAAGGAATGTAAAAAAGCGCTTTTAATAAATAAACCTAGGTGTAGGCATCCGTGTAAATACCTCAATACCTTCTGGACACGTAGTTTTTTTTTTTTTTTTTTTTTTTCCGCTTTTCATCTGCAAAATGAGGAACTAAAATCTGGGAAAACTACAGAGTCGCTTGGAGGGTAAGCCAGAGAGTCCTTGCCCCTGGCATACCCCCTGAAAACAAAACCCGACAAAACTCAATGTGCATTAATTAGTGCAGAAACAAAGACAGATTCAGCAAGTGCAAAGGTGACTACAATTTTCCCTTGTCCTCGGGAAGCCAGCTCCCTGGTCGCCAATGGCAGGGTGGTGCAGGCTGCTTGCCTGACCTGCCAGCTTCAGGCGCCACAGGCCACTGGGCAAGGCCAGCTCCTCTAGCTGGAATCTCGGTTCTTCTGGTTCCGCATCAGGGGGCTGTGGTGGCGCAGGCCCTCCATGCTGTGCCGCCAGTGCCAGCAGCTCCGGCAGAAGTATTTGAAGCAGACCTGGGTTGAGGGAACAAAAAGGAGGATGCCATAATGCCTGTGTCAGCACCAGACAAAGGAGCTGTTGCATGAGCTGCTTGCTCTGTTTGGAGAAGGGGTGGGAGACTCCCGATGGCCTCTATGGATTAGAAGAGATGGTCCCTAGAAGCGCTCTCACCCCAACACAGAAGCCTGATTAACTATGGCAAACCCACCATCCTTGTTACAGGTCCCCTTACTTAAACACGTCGGGCTCCTAGTGTGTACAGAGACCATGCCAGTTTCTCTTATCTCCTCTAACCATGACAGCTGCTGTCCTCTTCCCCTGCCCTTCTCACCTCCTACAAAGTAGTTGTATCACATGGTTGCTAATATGGAGAATGTATAAAGACACTGACAACAAATTCTAATGCTAGGCAACATCCTGCTTTCTTCCCATTAAGTGAGGAGAGGTGACTGGGTTTGTTTCTCAGTCTAGTCCCATCTCTGGGTTGCTGTGTAACCTCAGGCAAGCCACTAATCTCTGAGCAATTATCTGACTATGGAGATTATCTGTGAAAGATCCAGATCCATAAAAGCCTGGTAGATGAGCCTGATCAGAGAGATGCTCGTTCTCAGGCTTTAGCTAACAATCCAAACTTAACTTCAAACTCTCACTTGAGAGCCTCGGTTTAACCATATACAGGAGGCTCCAAATCTGAGCAATGGCATTACTGCAAAAAAATTTTAAATAAAATTTAAAAAGCACCCACTAAGCATGGATGGACTGCTGCTGGTGTCCTAAGAGGTTCCAAACTTCCCCTAACACCTGTCAAAGGATGATGCTGACTAGCAGCACTGACACCACTTGGATACTTGTTGGAAACATGGAATCTCAGGGTCCCAAACCCACCGAATCAGAATCTAAGATCCTCAGGTGATGTGTCTGTAATTAAGGTTTGAGAAGCACTGCCAAACACATCCAGATCCACATTCCATCACCCAGGAACATTCAATAGAAAGCCACCTCGCTGCTTTCTGCCTGTCACTGACACCTGTGGGTACAGCCCAGGTGCAAATATCAAAGTCGTCCAGAAGTTCAGATGCAAAGGAGGAGGAAGCCCTTGAGTAGAGAAAAAATCAGCTTAGAAGGCCTCAGGGTTAGAGCAGCTGAGCCTGGCTTCTACGTACTGCTGATCATACCCAGTCAGGCTTCTATCATCTATAAAACCACCTCTCAGCAATAGTGGCATACTGCATAGCAACATCCCAGGCAAGAAAAAGGCCAAAGTATAAAGACTCAATTCAACATATTTTCCTAAGAGTTCTGGATAAAGCTATCTAAAGTGTGTCCCTGGTTTGACCTTCAGCAAACATTACTGCTGCCTCCTCTATGCTCTCAGAACACAAGGTACCTCGGAACTCCAACATTCAATGTCATGAAGTTGGCGTAAAAAAAAATTTTTTTTTTTTTTTTTTGACACGGAGTCTCGCTCTGCCCTAGACTGAAGTGCAGTGGCGTGATCTCGGCTCACTGCAACCTCCGCCTCCTGGGTTCAAGCTATTCGCCTGCCTCAGCCTTCTGAGTAGCTGGGATTACAGGCACACACCACCATGCCAGGCTAATTTTTGTGTTTTTAGTACAGACGGGGTTTCACCATGTTGGCCAGGCTGGTCTCAAACTCCTGACCTCAGGATCCGCCCGCCTCAGCCTCCCAAAGTGCTGGGATTACAGGTGTGAACCACGACACCCAGCAAACAATTTTTAATTGAGGGCAGGGACTTCACAGACATCGGACCCACCTGATCTCGACAGAAGAAAGGACCAGGCTGAGAACTGCAGATATGACACAGAGAATCTTCTAGGTAGGGGTCAATCTGAACCTGCACAAAAGCAAAGTAAGATGACAAAGTGGCTCTTCTTACCAGGAGGCTCAATAGGCTATAGAAGAAGTACATATTATTGGCCACGCACAGGAATGCAGGATATCGGAATGCAGGTTATTTGCCTGTTTTAAAGGAGGCTTGCAGAGAATTATGGGCCTGAAGCACAGAAAGGGGTTCTAGAGAGCAGACTCCTACACCAAGAAGAGTCAGGCTGGATGCCTCTGGAATTCAGGCAACCACACACACCTTAATATGCCTGGTCCTCTCGGCAAACTGTACCTCAGCCCTCTATCAATTAGCAATATGAGCAAGTGTTCAGAGGATTCTCGAAAGGTTGGAAAATGGGAAGTCAGGCTACTTAGCAATGCCAGAGAAATACCACAGTGAGGGAAGGCACCCTACACACTAAAGAGGCTCAACAGTCCCAGTTCCCTTCCTCCTGGGTGTACAAAGACCAAGCCCACTCCCAAACCCTAACCTCAATGTTAATTCTCTGGAGTTTGGCTCACTTCCCTAAACACACCCAGCACAAACACAGCTTCAGGTCTCAGGCCTGCCCCAGGTAGTAACTGCCCAAACCCCTCTCATATACTCCAGAGTAAGGGCATAAACCAGCCAACTCACCTTCTTTGTGAACTTGGTGGTTTTGATCTCCACAAAAGCAGCGCTGACTGCTTTCAGGTAACTCCGTTGGTTATTGAAAGTCACACGACCAGATCCTAGGACAACAGACACAAGCTTCCCTTCTAACCAAATTCTCCCAAATGCTACTCTTTTAAAATGCAGGAAACCCTTTATGATACCAGTGCTGTCCAACAGAAATCTAATGTGAGCTACGATGTTACTTTATTTATTTTTTGAGACAGGGTCTCCCTCTGTCACCCAGGCTGGAGTATAATGGCGTGATCTCAGCTCACTGCAACCTCTGCATCCCGGGATCAAACAATCCTCCTGCCTCAGCCTCCCAAGTAGCTGGGACTACAGGCATGAGCCACCACGCCTGGCTAATTTTTGTATTTTTTGTAGAGCCAGGGTTTCACCATATTGTCCAGGCTGGTCTCGAACTCCTGGACTCAAACGATCTGCCCACCTCAGCCTCCCGAAGTGCTGGGATTATAGCCATAAGCTGTCACGGCCAGCCCTTATGTAATTTTAAATTTTCTAGTCATCACATTGACATTTTAAAGTGGTGACATTAATTTTAATAATATATTTTATTGGCCGGGCACGATGGCTCACGCCTGTAATCCCAGCACTTTGGGAGGCCAAGGTGGGCAGAGCATGAGGTCAAGAGATGGAGAACATCCTGGCCAACATGGTGAAACCCTGTCTCCACTAAAAATACAAAAATTAGCTGAGCGTGGTGGCAGACGCCTGTAGTCCCAGCTACTCAGGAGGCTGAGGCAGGAGAACTGAGAACCCAGGAGGCGGAGGCTGCAGTGAGCCGAGATCACACCACAGTACTCCAGCACGGCAACAGAGTGAGACTCCATCTCAAAAAAAAAAAAAAAATTTATTTAACCCTGTATGTTAAAAATATTATTTCCAAATGTGACAACAGCCATGTTTCCAAAACTCAATGGGGCCACATTTAGCTGGTGGCTACCATATTCATACCATATTTGACAGTGGAGATCATGTTAGCGCAAACCATTCAGGAATGGGGGAAGAATTTGGTGATCAAGATGGCAGGGCAGGGCAGGGCAGGGACGGGACGGGACTCCTTCAGTGCAGGTAGAAGCATAGGTAAGGTTAAAGGTTTCAGAGTGGAAGCCAAGATGCAGATAGAACACTTGTCTGAAGGGTAAGCCCAGCAGTTGAACTGAACCTCTCCTAGCCTGGAGGCACTCTGGAGACCTATTAGGAGAGCTGGAAGAAGCCCCATCCTGCCAAGTGCCTCCTCCGCTCCTGCAGCTTCTGAAGTCCCTGTTCTCAATCTGCTGCACAGCATTGGTAAGTACACGGTGCTCCTTCCTGACCAGATTCAGTGTGGGTGTGAAGACTAAGCATTTGGGAAGGTGGGTTAGCCACATCTTAATCACAGAGTTCAGGCTCTGCTCTACCTCCATACCCCATCATTGACATTTTGCCAGGACTAGTGAATTGACCTCCTTTCTCAGAGGAGCTGATCAAAACCTAGTGGTTAAGTCCACAGACTTCTGAGTTAGGGAAGCACAGGCCACACTCTGTTGCCTGACTCACTCAGAAAGTCCTCCTCCAGCCTGACCTGGTCTCTGACCTTAGATAATGCCAGAGCTTTTCAAGAACTTTTAATAAAAGAAACCGGGCAAGTACAGAGAATTGCAGCCTTTTCATGAACACCTGTTGTCTGTTCCAAACTGGTTTGGCTGTAAACTCTAAGCTTCCAACAAAGTTCCTACACCTCACTCTCACTTCTTATCACCTCTTGTAGTCTCCAACTGCTTTTTCTCCCACTGCATGGTCTGAGATGGTGGGTAGAGGGGTAGATACAGAAGGGCCAGTACTCGTGACTTGTCTAGAAAAAGATATTAAGGTGCTGGTATATGCTGATCTGCAGACCTGGGTCAGGCCTCTCTCCTCACTCCCATGGGGAAGTATCACAATCTTGGTCTACTCCCAGGGGCCAACCAAGCTTTAGCACACAGAAGTGGGACACTTACCAATGGGATACTTGTGCTTATCTGTGTCAATCCCAGCATACACCACTCCACCAAATAGGTCGTTCAAGATGGCTGCCAGGGCCTCAGCATTTAGCATTCCATGCAGAGCACCAACAAACACCGTCCTGCTGGGGTCAAGCCTCTGAGATGGGCTCCGGACAAAGTTACTGTCGGCTAATACCCAGGGGATCACCTGCACCTGAAAACCACCCAAAGGTGTATCAGCCCTGGCAGAGAGCCACAGAGAGAGAGGCGCTTGCATGGCAAGGCACATGCTCTGGAGATACTGAAGCTGGGCTGCTAAGGCCCTTACAGGGGTGAAAAGGTGTTGTTGCCCAGTCTCAGGCACACAGGCATCCAATAAACCACCCTTACTCCACCCCAACTGGAGTTGAATTTTACTGAGTCCATGTGTCCAGAATGGTACAAGTGGACAGAGTACTCACTCATGCTGGAGAGTAAGCAAAAAAGTACCACATGACCAAACCCAGGAGCCCAGCATTCTATTTCAACTTCCAACTGTGAGGTTCCAACAAAGGGCCGTGGACACTGATGAAAAGAGCATAATCGGAGGTCCTCAAGAAAGGAAGGACTCACAGAGAAATTAAAGGCTAGGATCCTAAAGGACAGAGGGATGGGAGTGCTCATGATATTTATATGAGATGGTTACTGGCCCAACCTAGGCTTCAGAGAGTTTGTGCCCAGAGCAGTGGAAATGACTGAAGAGAGGCTGGGTAGAAAGTCACATACAAGATCCCTGGAGTCTTGAAGGGCTGGGGCTGACCGTGTCCTTTGCCTCTGAATCTCCTGAACCTGGAACAAAACCTGGTAGAGCAAGTGTAGGACTCCAGAACAAAGTGAAGATCTAAAAATATATCTTGAAGCAGGAAGAGATCTGAGGCAGAAACCAGCAAGGAGGCAAAAACAGTACTTTCAAAGGACAGGTGATTAAGACTTGGATAAGGCTGGTGGCAATGAGCAGAGAACAGGCCAAGAACAAAGAGATTCTTCAACAGAGAGTCTGCAGTACTCAGACGGCATAAGCAGGATGGGCAAGCAAGGAAGAATCAGGCCTGGTAGGTGCTGGGCCTACACAGTCTTGGGATGAGAGGACCTGGCAGAAGTTACGAGAGGGGAGCCAATTTCACTGGAAGATGAAAAAGCCCATTTTGCCCACAAAAGAGTTTGGGATTACCAGACATCCTGAAGGAGGGTACCACAGGAAGGTGGGGCTCAGGTAGGACACGAGGCTAGAAAGGTGAATCTGGGTCTAAAAATGAGAGGAGCCACAAAAGTGAGTCATTTATCTGAACTAGAAAAGAAGATAGGAGGGAGTCAAAGATTGGCTATACTGGTGCTGGCGGGGAGGGGAACGCAAAGGAAAAAGTCAGAGAGGAAGGAGAACCGCATCAGCCTATAGCCAGTGAATCAAAGAAAGATTAAATCCCTGTAGGCGATGAGGAGGGAATGGGAGACAGGATGGTGTCAACAGGGGCACTGAGGAAGGGGAGGGGCTCTGTGATATGCATATGGCCATCTCTGGTTGTGAAAGCAGGAGGGGAGGAAGGAGCATGTTAAGTAAGTCCTAGAACATTTACTAAGGTGAGATGACTACACAAGCTCCACACAGTAAGGAAGCAGAGAAGGTACAGAAGCTGTGGGTCACTGTGGGTAGCCAGAGGACGAGCCTGCCCTCTCAATAACGCAGAATAAGAGCCAGCTTTGTTACATGGATTTATTTTAAATCTAATGTGACCATCTCAATAAAACAGGCATTTCCCCTCTTACCTTATAGATTGTTTTTAGAGAAGCTTTAAGGTTCACAGTAAATCTGAGCAGAAAGTACGGGGATTTCCCAAATACTCTCTGCCCCCACACTTGTGTGACTTCTCCACTATCAGGATCTCGCATGCGAGTGGAACATTCGTTTATACTCACACATCATCACCACCCAAAGTCCATGGTTTACATCAGGGTTCACTCTTGGTGTTTGTTTTACATTCTATGGGTTTGAACCAAAGTATAATGACATGTATCCACCATATACAGAATAGTTTCACTGATTCATCCCTTCATGCTAAACCCCTGGCAATCACTGATCTTTTTACTAAAATAGGCATTTTCGTTTCCCATTTTATAGAAGAGAAGAGGAAACAAAGTTTCAGAGATATTAAATGTCTAGTCCTATGTCACAAAAGTTGTGTGCTCTTGAATCTGATTTTAACACCACACTGATTCCGGAGCTCAAAACTTGCTTTGACAAGTGATTCTCACACACTATCCACTAGATCCACTTGGGGATCTTTGTTCAGTTGGAGATTCCTAAATTCCACCCAGAGTGATTCAGTAAGTCTGGGATAAGGCCCAAGAATGTGCAATGAGATCCCCAGGTGAGATAAACTCGTTAGAGACCCATGCTGCCAAGGATACATAAGGCTGATATTAGAAACGACGTAGGAAGAGGGAATCTTATGGGGAAAACCCACAACACTAAATAAAGCCCCGAATGAGAATGAAGAAGTGACCCACAGGTGGATGTGGGCTAAAGAGGAATTCACCCCCACAGACTGGGAGGTAAGAAGGCACAGGAAGGGCAGGACCAGGGAAAAACAGCTGTAGGTTTATCAGTTAAGTACAAGTAGAGAAGTCTGCTGTTCTCAATTTCAATTCTAAGACAAGAGGTTTAAAACTAAAGTGTTGGCTTCAAGAAAGAAGAGTAGAGTAAAGGCTGGGAGACAGTTTGATTACCATGGGCAGGCACGCGCATGTGTGCATGCACATACCCCATTAAGGCCCAAAGGTTGCTTTCTTTTCTTTTTTATGTAATTGAGAGGATACTGCTATTTTATTGTGGGAGAAGAAGAGCCTTCTTGCCTCAGCAGGAATACTCCTTGCCTGCAGCCTGCCTATCCACCTACCCCAAGAAAATCCAGTGCCTCAATATGCCAAGAACCTTGATCTAGAAAGGACATCATGCTAACTCACCTCCTTGCAGCGCATCCTTCGGCTGGACATCTTGAAATAATATTCACTCAGGCCATCTGGGCTCAGCGGGTCATGAGAGCAAGCCTGAAGCAAGGCTCGGACAGACTTCTCCAGTTCGAAGACCAGATACACATACCCTATTCCCAATGAGAGGAAAAATCGCATTAATATCCCTTAGATGGCCACTCCTCAGCCTTGGCTTTGCAGCAGGGAGTTTCTTCCAAGAAAGAAGGCCTTGTGTATAAGATACATTTTTGTTTTACTCCTGAAAAGTCTTGTTGAGTGGAAGCATTTGCTATGCAGATGCCCAGGGTTGTTGGCCTCCCTCCCACCCTGGTGAAGGAAAGGACTGGCAAGCTGAGACAGAGAGATCCCACCATTACCACAGCTCTCTATGCCAGAACACACAGCATGTTCAGGTCAGCAGAGCCAGGCTTTCCTGGGGGCAGGAAGGATGGCAGTTATTGCTTTAAACGCCTACTTAAACCATTAGTTCAGTTCAATGAAGATGGAGCAGGGTGAAAATAGCAGCTGCTCCTTTCTACAGGGAGGGGATCTCATTTCAGACCAGTGAGGAATCAGATGCTTGGTCCTCATTCCTGCCAACTCCAAAGGGACTTCAGAATTAGGTCAGGCAACAACGTAACTGGGCAGGACAGGCAGGCAAGGGAAAGCTTTTCAAACGCCTTATTTTGAGAGGAAAGGTGCTGCTTGGGTTCAGGTTTAGACAGAAGTGTACAAGGAAGGGGTTTCAGAGGCAGCTCCCACTGCTGTGTAAGTCTGGACAGATGAAACATTAGCTCCGAAGAAACAGAGGGACGTGTTAGGTTGAAGAGAAAGTGCTGACAGATGACAGGTCTGTGCCCTGGAGTGCCCACCATGTTACCAACATGCAGCTGTGACATCCCAGCACCCATAGGTGCAGTTATGTTCTAGGGAAGGGAAAAAAAAGCTCCTACCACGTCTTTATTACCTTTAGGCATATTACCTTTGGGAGGACACCGGGGGTGCTTGCCATCCTTACCAGGCCACTCCACACTCAAAGAGCCAAAAACACGGAAGGTGTTAACTAATCCAGCTGCAAAGAGACAGAAAACAATGGCAGAAGCTGAGGAACCATCCTTCCCAGTAAAGACGCAAACACAGAATCACCAGCATTCTCCTCCCTGGCTCATCCCCACTGACAAACAACTCAGAAATGGATGCTGATCTCCGGTGTAAGCTCCCGACATAGGAGCACTATGGGGGTATATGAAATGCACCTCTCCCCTCAGACACTCATGTAATACCCCTGAACTCAGGCAGGGAATTCAGCCCCTGGCCTCAATTCCAAGTTTCATGCTCCTGAAAGACATGCCCCACCCTTCTACTCTTAAAGCAGGAGGTCTTAGAGACAGCTCACCTTCTGTAATATCCCAAGGAACACCTCCTAGAAACACTTTGCAAGAGTAGATGGGGTTCTTATAGTTCCGGGGAGGAAGCTGGCCACTCCAGGTACAGGTGGCTTCATTCACAGCTTTGGTAGACGGCAAAGAGATAAACAGGGGAGGTTAGAAAATCAGCAAAGCCACCACTCTTCCCTGGGGTGAACTTGTCCAGTAAGAACCTGACTGGCCACAATCCTTGCCCAGATGCCTGAGAGAATATCCATGATTATTCCGAAAAGCAAGAAACCTATGTCTCACCAATCCACTCAGTCAAGTATGATAATCCTACTTTGCTAATTCTGTCCCCACTAAAATGGAAAGGAATGCCAAGCCAGATGTGTAGGGTAAAAATTTACACCCCATGTTATTTTCAAACATTCAACTAATATGCTAACCACAAAGCAGTTTTATCTTATTGCTTACAGTACTACTAATTCATAATTACTTGAAAATAAACAGAGCAATACAACATCTTACAGGCTTACTGGTACAAATGGGCCTTCTCCCCAATGTTCAAATGAGAAACATTCTATTCTGTTTCCCTGTCTTGGTTCTGAACTCATTAATCACAGAAGTTAGGACACTGCCAATAAAAACCAGCACTAGCAACCCAGTAAGACAAGAATGTCACAACTGTTCCAAGCCAGACTCATCTTTATAGCACCCAAATGGACAATGGGCCTTCCTTGATGTCAACATGGTAAGATAATCAGTCTTCAATCCTGTCCCCACTGTTTGTACCTTTCCAAATCAGAGACTGACCTTAGTGAGGACTAGTTAGTTCTTGCCCATTTATTTCACCCTCCTCTTTCAGCAAAGAGGCAGACAGCCAATGAAAGGAACTATCATTTTCATTCAGGACAAAGATGTGGAAGGACACTTCCTAAAAGGAATAGGCCCAAGGTGTTGCTACAGCAAGAAACTGGGCAATGTCAGCAATCTTTTACGACAAAAACAGAATATAATGGTCTCACTCAAAAGCATGGTAATGTCATTTCATATGAAAACAATGGCACCAGAAAAAGTACTAAGATGGGCTGCCAAAATCATTAGGTGAACAGGGCAAAGCACTATCAGAGAAGAATGAGATCCAGCCCAACTCTGTGAGCAAACAGATACACGGAAACAAATGGAATGGAGAAACTAACACTAACTTAGTCATCAAATTCAGGACCTCAGAAGAGCCAGTGGTTAATGAACTTCTCGCTGGAGCGGTACTAGACAAAGATGAAAAACAAACTTAATACATACTTAAGATAATTTATTTTTTAAACCTTTTAAAATACATAGAGATGGGGTCTCGCTATGTTTCCCAGGTTGGGCAACTCCTGGGCTCAAGCCATCCTGCTGCCTCTGCTTAAGTGCTGAGCCACCAAGGCCAGCCTAAGATAATTTAAATGTCAGAACCTTAAGGATTCCTAAGAGACCAGGACATCTGGTGACATTCCTTACCTTAGAGGTTGACAAATGGACCCCTCCTTCCCCAGTGCATTCGTGAGTGTACCAATCAGAAAGCCTCGGGGAAGAAAGGTCCAGCATGAGTTGTGTCTGACTGTCTTTGAATTAGAATGTGGAGAGGGTAGACAAAATTCTGGACATCCCTTCCAGAGTTTCTCTTGAGGACATCCACCCGTGGAAGAAGTAAAAGCAAGAGCAGCACACAGCCAGTCTCCATGGAAGGGCACAAGTGAGAGACAGAGCCAGCCCCTTGTGCTGTGGCACATGCATGTGCCAGATTATCTGCCTCTTTCCTCTCCACTCAGCCTCAAGAAGTTCCTGAGTTTGTTCCCATTAGCACTTACTCCACAGAAAGATAATTCTTTGCAGATCTGGAGACTTCACCATGCAATCAAACCTCCTCTAGACAGTTCACAAGCGTGTGAACTAAGGTCACTTCCTCTGTGCTCCCAGAATGAGGCCTCAGGCCCCACACATGCCCAAGGCACACTCACCTGCAGCTTGTCGGTGCAGCCTGGCCTCTCTCTCTATGCTGAAGGGGTCTTTGGGAGCTTCGAGGAGGTCCCAGGATGGCCACACAGAAGCTCCTGGCCATCTCTTTGAAGCACTGGTTGGGGAGGGAGTGACTGCAGCAAGAGCAGCTTGCTCTTGGTCCATCCGAGACCCTACCCCCATCTTTAAAGGGTCCCTGGGACCACCCCCTGTCAGAGACAGGAAGGGCAGAGGTGGGGAAATGCGAAGGCTTGACTAGGGGAGGAAAAAGGAAGACAGGGTTTTAAAGGACAGTTTTGTTATAAAGTAATAATCACATTATAGAAATTATTAAAAACATCCAACAGACATTTAGCATTTGATATATATTCTTTTAGACTTTCTTCCTGAGCAGTTTTGATTAGTTCTAGTTATACTATAATTTAAACAAATTCTCCTTCTCTCCTCATTCAGCAATTTTTCCATATTGCCAGTCTTTATAGCCATTTAAAATGCATTTATCATATTCTATTTAGGGAACAAGGTACATCTCACTGACCCATACTCTTCCTGCTACATATATACTTTCCAAGTTTTCAGAACCATAAACAAAAATTAAGATGTAGCTTCTTCATATTTTTTGTTTTCTTTGGTCAGATTCCTAGAAAGTCGAATGCCAAAAATGCTATCTATAACAGCTCTGCATTGTATCATAAATGTATCAGAACACTATAAGCTGTGTCAAACCTTTAAATTCTAATTTACATGTGTGAAATGATACCACATTATCAGAATAACTCGTTGACAGAATATTTTAAAATCCCCAAATATTAATCAGTCATGAGATAAATTTTCAAGACTGAGTCCAATCTAAGTAACATAGAACTACCAGCACTGTATCTGACCCCATTTTACAGAAGAGGTAACTGCAGCCCGGAGAAGCAAAGAGACCCGCATGTGACTGTCCTTTTAGAAAAGCAGCCTTAACAGATAAAACCAATGGGCAGCAAGAACACCAACTTCCACATTCTAGGACAGGCTGACAGGCGATCACAACCAATGCTGCCAGTCCTGGGTATGGGGAAGAGAAGAAGGTGGGAAAATAAGCCATTCTATTCACTGCACAGTCAGCTCGGGAGATTTGGCAAAAAAAAAAAAAAAAAAAAATGCTTATAAGGCATCTGAAACTGTATTCTTATTTTGGGGTAATTTCTTACTGCTAATCCCACCTGTATTTACTTCTACTATCCCCTATCTATATTATCTGTACTACTCTATCTATAATATCCCCTACCTATTCTAATTCATTTGCCAACTCCACTTAGCATGAAGACTACACACATCATACATGGCTGTAGATAAGGAACATGAAATGCAAAAATTAACTGAGGCAATGTTTCATAGATTCATCATGGTGTGAATTAAAAAAAGCTGACACGGGTCAGTGGAAAAAATATAGGAGCCACAGTCAGTCAGATCTGGATTAAAATCCTATCTCTGCTAATTACTACTTTAAAATTTTTTAAGTTACTGCTTTTGAGATATCATACATCAAAGTACATAAATGACACTGTTTAAGGGCTAAAGCAAGCACCCCGTGTAGGTAAAGAAACAGAATACTGCTAAGGCCCTCACATTTACTTTTGAAATTAAGTGTTTTCCAGTATTCTTGGAGTAACTAGTAAAATGAGAGTCCTGAGCTCAGGTCCTGAAATGTATTGCTCAATGGGTCTTCAAAGCATCCTCTTTTCTGTTAAGGATGAGAACTCTACAAATGTCCACAATGGTCTCCACTCCTCCCCTCATCCCATCTCCCAGCCTGCATTCCAGGGAACAGGCATCCCATAGATATTGTACCCTCCTTCCCCTTGGACACACACAGGCAACTCAACCCACAACCCCCCTTTCCCAAATGAGTTACATACAATCAAATCTGAGAGATGATCTGATCCAGAGCTGAAGCCACTGGTGTCTGAGTCAGAGGGGCTGCTAGATCGGGAGTCCAGGATGGGCCGGGTGTCCAGGCGTGATCCTCTAACTGAGGGTGCCGGAAACTTGTCCACCAAGTCAGACCCAAGGGGATCCAGAGGCAGGAAGCTCAAGGGGGGTTTTCCTAGGACATTTCCCAGTGGGTTATGGAGCATGCTCAGTACTAGGAGGACAAAAAAGGAAACCTCATGACCTCTTAGTTTTCTTTGCAGCCAACAGCCTCTTTCTTCTCCTACAGCCACCCAACAAGAGATACCAAAGGCAAGACCACTAAAAGCATGCCAGCAAAACACAATATAATGAACAGGTATATATCCAGCTCTGAGACCTGGCTACAAGGGCCCTGTTAGAGGAAGTTACAGGCTGACTGAAGACCAGAGTTCCTGCTGTTACAGTAGCAGCAAAACTGCTGGGTTCTACTACCCAGGCTTAAAGGTCAATGCCAGCATTTGGGAAACTGTCACTGGGGACCCTGGTCACAGCTGCTATTAATGCCTGGATATACCTACAGCACAGTCAGAAATCCCAAACCATACTTCATCTTTACTGCTGCCAATTTGTTTATTAGAAGAATTCCCACCTTTCTAATGCTATAATATAGAATTTCAGGCCACATCCCAGAAATCTGGTATAGCATAAGCATATCACCTCATGTGAGAGGTTCACTTATGCAAACTTCTAACATATACAGATTCTCTTCAATGTACCCCTGAACTTGAAATGTTTAGGATGGAAGCAGAATGACATGCTTAAGCCCATTCTTTGACTTAAGACAAGCTTGGGATCAAGTCCTGTGTCTGACACCTCTTGTATATGTCTGTGAGCTCTGGGAAGCTCACTTAGCTTCTCTGACCCTCTATTTTCTAACTGGCATCTAGGGTGGAGTATCAACTATTTCATAACATTGTTAGGACAGCTCAATAATCAGATACCAGATGGAAAGAGCTCAGCACAGTAGCACCCAGCACATCATAAATATTTAAACATGAAACATAAAAAAAAAAGAGCAACATTTTCCACACTTGGCCTTGGGGAACCTAAGCAAAGCACACCCTCTATCTATGAGGATGAAGAATAAGAGGGCTTTGGCACGGAGCTATGGGTGTGCTAAATCTAGGAAAGAAGACTTAATTTGAAGTTGTTTTTTTTTTTTTCATCTGAAGAATGAGAACATTCACCTCAAAATGGCTGAGGTAAAACCAAAATAATATGTATAAGTGCTCAATAACTGGCTCTGATTGGCCCCACTTCAGCCCTGACTAGCAATGAAATGAAACACAGGTCACCCAGAGCTGACTTCCTCCCAGGCCTCTAAGTCAGTTTGAATGCTTGTCTGGAGCTGGAGTCCCAAGAAGCAGGAATAAACCTCTCAAGACTGAAATTAAAATCAATGCATGCTTTCAGGGTACCAGACACACATGCCATTGATGGAAGATATGCATAAGATCCCAAAAATCTGTTAATATGGGACCAGACCAGCCCACTCTCCTTTAGGTATATGACCTCCCCTTTTGGATAAGACATGGTAGGTGTATTCTTAACATTTCATACAGGGGAAACTATAGATATATCTACTTATCTAGTTATTATTTTGTGGTAAAAATAGCTTTAATTTTTAAAGAGACTGCCATAATACTTTTTCCAAGTAGATGGAACTATACCATTTTACCTTCCCACCAGCAGTATGAGAGTTTCAGTCCCTCTACAACCTGGCCAACACCTGGTTTGGTCAGTCTTTTTATATCTAGCCAGTCTAATATGTATGTTGTGGGATGTGGGTGGGGTAGAGCCACATCACATCCACCAAGGAGTTAGTTTAGCATTTTGCTTTTCAAGGAAACATTCCTAACTTTGAAATTGCCTTTTGAAGCAGTTTTCAAAGCTCTAGCATTTAACTGTATGCTAAAACTAAGTGTCTCAAAATGCTTGGATTGATAACCATCAGAAATAATCCTTGACAAACTTCTCAAATAATCCTTTGGCCGGGTGTGGTGGCTCACTCCTGTAATCCCAGAACTTTGGGAGGCTGAGGCAGTTGGATCACCTGAGGTCAGGAGTTTGAAACCAGCCTGCCTAACATGGCGAAACTCCATCTCTACTAAAAATACAAAAATTAGCCAGGCGTGGTGGTGCACGCCTATAATCCCAGCTGCTTGGGAAGCTGAGGCCCAAGGATTGCTTGAACCCAGGAGGCAGAGGTTGCAGTGAGCCGAGATTGTACCACTGCACTCCAGCCTGGGCAACAGAGCAAGACTCTTGTCTAAAAAATAAAAATAAAAATAAATTCCTTGACAAACTCCTGCCTGAAAGAAATTCAAAATCAAAGTCTGTAGAGTCCATGCCCTGAGAAGGCAGAATATGAGAAGATTTTATTCAAGGTTCCACCCTAATGCTGCAAAGACTGGCAAAGAGGCACTGTGAAAAATCAACAGATCATATGCATCCATCTTAAAAGTGGTACCAATGCCCCGGAGGGCCTCATCCTTTTCCACATTTCACAAAAACAAGTTAGGGTGATGAACAGTGAGGTAACAATTCAAATCACAAAGAACCCTGACAACTAAGTTAAATAGTTTTCATTTTATCTTATTGTCATTTGTTTTTTTGAGACAGGGCCTAGTTCTGTTCCCCAGGCTGGAGTGCAGTGGCTTACTTCAACCTCAAGCTTCCTGGGCTCAAGTAATCTTTCCATCTCAGCCTCTAGAATAGCTGGGACTACAGGCATGTAATATCTACCACATCCGGTTGATTTTAAAAAAATTTTTAGTAGCGGTAGGGTCTCACTATGTTGCCCAGGCTGGTCTCAAACACCTGAGCTCAAGCAATCCTCTTGTCTCAGCCTCACAAAGTCCTAGGATTACAGGCATGAGCCACTGCACCCAGCTTGATTTTATCTTAAGGGTAACTGAGAGACACGGAAAAGGCCATCTGCAGAGCTACTGTGTAGATAGCAGAGAAGGCTGACCAGGGAAACTAAGGCAAAGTACCAGTAGGAACCAGCGCCTAGCAAAGAGAAAACTAAGTTGGACTTGAAGGATTTTCTCCAGCAGAGCTCAGATACACTGGAGCCATCCAGAGCTATGATTTTGTTCCCCCAACGGGGTATGAAGGAATAAATGGGACAACAGAGTTGATGATAACAGCAACAAAGGAAATGAAGAATGGGTCGTGCATTATAGGCTAAAGACAGAACAAAGTCAATAGTTTGGGAGTAAATAAGTGGAAAATCAGTGTTTTCAATAGGCTGATAAGAAGAATGAGGGTGGCAGATGAGATAAATACGAAGAGGTGGGACAGTGAAGATTAAGAGCTCTGAGGATGTCAAGGTCCAGAGTATGGAACTAGACATGGCTGACTTAGAATGTGGAAAGTTTGAAATATTAGGTAACGTCATTCATGTGGACACTAAAGAGACCTATGGTGATAACTGGGCTTGGAGTTAAACACTGAGATTTTCAGAGACCTGGGACAATGAGTAGGCTCTACTTGGCATAGCAGCATCTTAAAGGAAAAGTCTTCAGCTAAAGCACCAGTAACAAGAAGGAGGCCAGTTTGTTAACCCTGGAAAAGGGGAGTTTCAAGTGGCACAGCAGAGAGCTCTGAGAGTTGTCAAGGGAGAAACAGCATAAAGCAGAATGCCAGAAAAAAATACTCAAGAAGGGATGCTGCCCCAAAGGCTTGTGTCTGAAAACACCAAAGATGGCAAGTATGGGTTCTGGTAACTGTCCTCACCCAAGGTTTTTTCTAAAAGGTATTTTGGAGAGAGTCAAAAAAGCAACATGGTAAGCACTACAGACCCCTTTTCTCATTCACATCAATTTGTATTCACTATTGTGTTGGTACACCTGTTTCACCAGCCACAAACCCATCTACCTCCGCTAACTTGAAAGTTCTCTACTGTGCCTACAAAGATATCTTGAGGCTTTGACAAATTCCTGTACCAAAGCTAGGAATTATCTCTGTAGTGATCTTCTAATCTAGCAATAAACTTGCCTAAGTAGAAAATGGCATGACAACTCAAGTTGGTCACTAACGAACTCTACTTCCTTAAGTGTTCACAGTTCATGATCACTCATCTGTTCTGCAATCTGGACCAGGTTCAGTTAAGCTTCTAACAACTTACTGAACGTCTAGCATGTGATGTGCCAAACACTGTGTTAGAAGCACTTTAGGTAAACAGTCTTCACCAAATCCTAAGAAGTGGCTATTATTACTGTATCCTAACAAAAGGAAACCAAGACTTGGGGCAGTCAGTCTGTAAAAGTAACAGCTAATGAGTGACAGAGACTGGATTCTTTCCCACTCCAAGTACCATTCACTAGCTACTTTTTTTTTTTTTTTTTTAAATCTTTAGAACTCCACATCTGTTTGTCTTCACGTTCCTCAGCACCTTTCCTTTGTCTGAATCCTGTAAGACCATCAACTACAGACTAGTGATGTTGCCTACCAGAAGTCCCTGCTTTAGGACCTAGAATATTAGGGTCTTAAATCTTACCTAGGGCCTTGCCACTACAGGAACTCATTAAAAATGCATTTTGGGTCCCACCCCAGACCCGAATCAGAATCTGCATTTTTAAAAGATCCCCAGGAGATGTGTATACACATTAAGTTTGAGAAGCACTGACCCATACAAACCCAAGGCTTGCTACTTCAAATTCCTAATCAATTGCCTTATCACACCCAAACATCTTTCATATATAATTATTTCCTCTGACTTAAAGACTGGAGGTTATGGCCGAGTGCTGTGGTTCATGCCTATAATACCAGCCACCTTGGGGGACTGAGGCAGGAGGACTGCTTGAGGTCAGGAGTTCAAGACCACCCTGGGCAACACAGCAAGGCCTGTCTCTAAAAATAAAAATCAGACAGGCATTATGGCATGCACTGACAGTCCCAGTTACTCAGGAGGCTGAGACAGGAGGATCACTTGAGCCTAGGAGGTTGAGGCTGCAGTGAGCCATGATCGGGCCATTGCACTCCAGGCTGGGCAACAGGGCAAAATCCTGTCTCAAAAAAAAAAGACTAGAGGTTATAATTTAAATACAGTTCTCACATTAAAATGGTAAATATACTTAAGAGAAAAAAAAAGGCATCAGATAAATAAATCAACATGGCTACACAGGACATTCACTCTCTGAAAACACTGAGTGGGAGTGGAGGACA